GACAGACTAAAGGGCCGAGCACTGCGCCCAGGACAGGATAGAGGGCCGGGTCCTGCGGTCTCATGTCCAATAATATCAATGTGATACATATGAGATCCATGTACAAAATGAGTAAGAGAGGGGGGGATCCTCCGGAGGGGGGTTGGGGGGTCCAGAAAAAGTTCTCTATGAAATTACCCAAATGAAGTTCATATACTGTCAAAAAGAGGTTGAATATTTCAGGGCCGAGCGTTGTGGCATAAGGTAGACCTTAAGTATTTTCAAAAATATCAATATTCAATCCTACTTACGATTAAACATGCTTAATTCTTAATTAAATATCAATGAGAAACAGGATTTTCTTGTTCATTTGAACTATTTTTGTCCATTTGAACTATTTTTTTGCATCCAATTGAATTATTTTTATATTCATATGAACTGTTTTTTGTTTAAATTTCAGATATAATATTAATAGTTCAACATTCACAATTTAGTTCAAATGAATTCATAGTTCAAATGAACTAAAGATAGTTCGTTTGAATTCTACTGCACATTTTAACTACTCCGTATTACTACGTGCAGTAGTTCAAACGAACAATATTTCAAATGAACATATAGTTCAAACAGGCCAGTACATTAAGCGTCAATATATCAATTTAAGAGCGAAAAATCAAGAATACATTTTCTCCAGAACATAATATGGGAATTGAAAAATGACGAAATATAAAGTATGATAGATGTATACATTATATATATATATATATATATATATATATATATTATTATACCCTAGCTATAAATCTTAGATTGGTCAATAATCAATAAGAATAGATGAATAGGTGAATAGATGAATAAATGTATAAAATGTATAGATGAAAAGATAAATAGATCTTTTGTTTATTCACAGAGTATTTCAAAAATTAAAATTAATCCTTTATTTAGGAAATCATTGTTTTTCTTGCGTCATTTGCAAATTAATTTAACAACGAAATATTCAAGTATTTGTGAAATATTAATTATAGAAAATAAAAAATGAATATTTGCACAGCTTGATGAATTGACAATTTAGGGGTTTTTTTTTGATAATAATTTCCCCGCTTCTGAGCAAATGCATAATTTTACACTTTTAAAGCTCGTCGACATCGGGAGGTAAGTTTTTTACACATTTAGCGAGGATACTAAAGATATGTGTTAATACTGATTAGTTTTTTCTTTTACCCATTTGTTTNGGAGGGTAGGGAGCACCTGAATAATTCTGTTTTTGTTTATGTATTTTATATTATTAAATAAATAAATATTTTTGAAATATTTTGTTATTAATTCCCAATTAACGAGTTTTTTATTCATTTTAGGAGAATATTTTTAGAGTTTAATGTTATGATTTCTTAATATTTACAAAAATGTTGAATAATTTATTCAATATATTTGAATGTTTATGTTACGTAAGTCCCCCGTCAGGTGTCTCTGGCTGTCAAGAAACAATGTTAGAATCCCCCGCCAGGTGTCTCTGGCTGTAAAGAAACAATATTAATGAGTTTTTAATTCAATATTATTGTATATATTGTTTCCAGATGTTGCCGCTAGGTTGAAGCACCGCTGCACGGACAGTGGTATTCTTAAATTTTGAATAATATATTCAATTCAGTTGTATAAAAATTACTCGCATTGTCAACGCGTGATTATTTACGTATTTTATTCCAAAGTTTTGGAAAAAATATTCAATAAATAGGAATATTATTGTCCTATTGGATTCTAATTGGTATACAAAATTATTCAAAATTTAGATAAAATTTATTCAATATTATTGTTGTGATCGCGCGATTCCAAAATATTGAATAAAATATACAATCTTAAATTTTACAGTGTATGTAGTTGCCTGGTTAAGACTGTATCTATAGATTAATCATATTCTTTTCATTTAACGTATGTAGGTTGTTTATATTTCATTGTTTTGTTGGATTTTGATTTTTTTTCCGGACGGTTCCATGCTTAAAATCCAGTTTTTTTCAGGACGGGTTTAAAGTCAGAATAATTGTTTTCTGACGAATTCAAAATCATAATCGACATTTTCAATTTTAGGACGGATTTTGGACTAGAGAATTATTTCATAACGGATCCACCGATCCACAAGATCAGAATTGATTTGTTGAATCCGCTTTGTTCAGCGTTGATCCAATAATGTCATCGAACTCTCACTTACCTTCAATAAGCCAAAACTAAATCATATTGTTGGAAAACTGATGAAAATAAATTAAATGGGCTGTCCACGGAAATTCAATTAACCCCGAATGCAAAGTTTGTCTGTCTCTATTTATCTGAGAAAAAAGAGCAATGAGATGTCGTCATTTACTATCTTAAAATTAAAAAATGTTGAATTCTGACAATTTCGTCCCTTCTTTCTACCGCATAAATCCGCGAGTTACTTATACAGAGAATTATCAATTTTCATGAAGAAAAAAAATCGTAATTTTCGCCACAACAAATGTTTGATTTAAGTTTGATTTTATGGTAAATTATACTTAGATTAGACCAATATGTTGTGAAATGTTGGTTTGGGTTAAGGGTGTATCGCAAAAAATGAGCTTTAATATTTTTTTAAATTTTTATATAAAAACGGGTTCTCCAAAATAGTGTTGAATTTTGAGTAATCCATGTCAATATTTTATTGAAGTTCGAATAATTATGAATCAGCCTGTATAACCTTGATTGTGAATAAAAACACAGAATACATGAAATATATAGATATTTTATATTTATACAGTGTTTATCAAATATTCATTTTAAATTGGTCTCTTTACTCAGCTATAATATATACTATCCAGCTATAATATATACTATTCAGCTATAATATATACTATTCAAGTTTTCATTTAAGTTTACATTGAAATCATAAAGGATTTAATGCAAGGAAAGTTATTTCAGAGGTGTACGCATCTTTTGTACTGCAGTGTACTGTCACTGGGCGGTAATGTAAACACAAGACGGATGTCGAAGCCTGACATGGGATCCATCTTTCACATAAAAAATCAATGAAATATTCTGGTCATAGGAAACTATTATGTGAATTATCACAATTATCAAAATTTAATGGTTTTGATCCTCCTCGGATACTAAACGAACACTGATGCAACTATTCTTGTTTACAAATTCCGCCCAGAGAGAACTGGTTTCATTATGTACGCAGAGTATATGCAACTGCAATTAACTTTCCTTGCATTACAACCTTGGATATCATTGGCTATTATCATCACATATACATCTGTCTGTTTGTTTGTAACCAATAAATGTAAAAACGTCGGAACCATTCGCGGGTCCAAATTTTGTGTGGGACCTCAAATTCCTGATTCCTGGTAAAATTGAGGAACCGTAAAAATGTTCTACTTTTTTATGAAATTTTTGAATGATTTACAATGACAACGAGCAATAATTAGAAGCTTAAATTGTTAATAGGAACTGGAGTGCGAAGCGCACTATAAACCCTACAGTAAATATTTGTTTTACAGACATATACAGGGTGAGTTAAAAAAAGGGTGAATAGCGAGATCTTGCATACGATACAGCATTTGTTTTTGGTAATCTCATTTTTGACAAATATGCATGAAATTTTCGAATTTTGATTTTTTTTAATTTTTAAAAATCTCGCTATTCACCCTTTTTTGACCCTGTATGTATGCATTCGTTGTATTTTTGTATATTTAAAGGGATTCGCCAACGGTTATGGATAACATCGCTAAAGGAACTGAACGCTCTATTTTTACAACCTCATGTCGCAGACCTTATAAATTCTGTGTCTGATGGTTTTTATTAAATATTTTAAACATAAATCATTCTATCAGGAGACAAAAAGTTTCCACAGTTGGACTTCATAGTTTTTACAAGATTTAACAGTTTCACCCTTTAAACACTTTCACTCCGAACTTTCATTTTGATTTCTTTTGATTTTTTATCACTTTTTTGTAACTTTTTGTCATTTTTGAACGATTGGAGCGTGGTTTCAATAGAAGAGTTCTGAGGATCAGAGAAGAAGATTATTAGAAAGGTTGGAGCGTGGTTTCCATAGTAGAGTTCTGAGGATCAGAGAAGAAGATTTTTAGAACGGTTGGAGCAGGGTTTCCATAGTAGAGTTCTTAGGATCAGAGAAGAAGATTATTAGAAAGGTTGGAGCGTGGTTTCCATAGTAGAGTTCTGAGGATCAGAGAAGAAGATTATTAGAACGGTTGGAGCGTGGTTTTCATGGTAGAGTTCTTAGGATCAGAGAAGATTTTTAGAAAGGTTGGAGCGTGGTTTTCATAGTTGAGTTCTGTGGATCAGAGAAGAAGATTATTAGAACGGTTGGAGCGTGGTTTTCATGGTAGAGTTCTTAGGATCAGAGAACAAGATTTTTAGAAAGGTTGGAGCGTGGTTTCCATGGTAGAGTTCTTAGGATCAGAGAAGATTTTCAGAAAGGTTGGAGCGTGGTTTCCATAGTAGAGTTCTGCGGATCAGAGAAGAAGATTATTAGAAAGGTTGGAGCGTGGTTTCCATAGTAGAGTTCTGAGGATCAGAGAAGAAGATTATTAGAAAGGTTGGAGCGTGGTTTACATAGTAGAGTTCTGAGGATCAGAGAAGAAGATTTTTAGAAAGGTTGGAGCGTGGTTTCCATAGTAGAGTTCTGCGGATCAGAGAAGAAGATTATTAGAAAGGTTGGAGCGTGGTTTCCATAGTAGAGTTCTGCGGATCAGAGAAGATTTTTAGAAAGGTTGGAGCGTGGTTTCCATAGTAGAGTTCTGCGGATCAGAGAAGATTATTAGAAAGGTTGGTTCGTGGTTTCCATAGTAGAGTTCTTAGAATCTGAGAAAAAAATCGCCCTGATGGTTTCAGTGAGGATTAATCCAACAACAAAGATAACAAGAAGGATTCCAAGAACCAGGAGAATATAATGACATAACTTACAAGTCCTACTCTGAAATATCATTCTATTATTAAGCGGGGTAAAGAAGAAATAACTTAACGGGATTGTAAATTTCAAGTTATAATCCTCCATTTTCAGAGCGGTAATTTCAGGGGGGTATTTTCGATTCACAATGATACCCTTTAAACCTTAGTCTGACCAGGAACGGATAAGATGTCCTCCATTTTTCATATAGAAAAATTAACTATTTCCAATTGATGTTATCTTTCACATTGTTTTTAAGAAAAACGTTTTGATTCGGACATTTTTTAATTTTTAGAATTTTTTAAAATTGCAAACATAGATTAATAACAATACATATAACACACTAGATGTCGTCTTTTCAAGATTTAGTGTTTTTTGTTGATTATAACTCTGAGGCAGAAGCCTAAAGGAGTTACGCGCATGCGGCGTAGAATAGACTCTCTCTCTGTCTTGTAATTCTACGCAGAATGCGCGTAACTCCTTTGGGCGTCTGCCTCAGGGTTATTGTGAACTTTGATACTTTTACTAATAATTTTCTACTGTATATTTTTTTTGCTGATAAATGGTTTCTTGATTTATCAGACATAGATTAATTAACAATAACAGATAGAACACTAGATGTCGTCTTTTCAAGATTTAAGGGTTTGTCGTTCACAATAACCCGGCGGTAGAAGCCCTAAGGAATTACAAGACAGAGAGAGAGAGAATGCGCGCGCGCAACTCCTTTGTGAACGAAAAACCCCTAAATCTTGAAAAGACGACATTTTGTGTTATTTTTAATAAATCTATGATATCAGAGCTGAAAATTTTAGAATGAGATATCCCTAATCCTGATTACTTAATCTGAGTATCCAATTTTGATTTTCTTCTTAATCCTCTTTTTTGGATATTTCTACTGTATAAAGGTTACCTTTAATAACGATTACAGATACGCTGCTATATCGATTGGACTAATATCCTATTGAACTAAAGTCAGTTGTTCACAAGCGGGCTTTAAGAGCAAAATAAACTTAATTATGTTAAAATAAACTTATTAAAAAACATATTTTATCACATTTGAGACTAAACATTAATCCAAAACTTACATACGTTCAATCAATCTTTAGTTCAATTGATATGACACCATCAACACCAGAAATGATATGACACCATCAACACCAGAAATGCGCAAAAAATAAAAACGGGTTTATCAAAAGTTAAAGAGTGCATTTTTACATGACACGCTGATTGGTTGAATTTAAACTTCTTTCTTGGATATCGAATGTGTATTAACCTAATCTCAGGTTTAGTAACCAATCTTTAGTTTAGATCGAGCATTGATCTCGATATCCACCATTCTAAAGTTGTCAGCTCTGAGCTCTCTTATGCTATTTTTGAGAGATCAAATTTCCAATATATGACTAAAAATATTCCCATGCTAAGAGAATGCACCTTGGTTTGTTAGTTTTATATTCACTACCTGGTATTCATTATCCTCTGCTGGGTTTGCTCCTTTAACCCTGTCCGTCAATGACCAGGCATTTGCCTCTAGTTTCGGTTCAGACGTTGCATTAGAGTTTAGGGAGTGTATAAGGAATTGGTTACTGTTGGTACTCTCATTGCTTCTGCAAAAAAAATTCTCTAATTAAGGGAGTAAAGGCAATACGCACACTAGAAAAGCTTCAAATCGCAAATGACGTCACAAATGGATTTTCTTTTATACTAGTATAAAGAAATATGATTAATATGTTTGAGACATGATAGATGTCTTGACGTCTTTAAAATTGTTTAGTTCAATTCCTTTAAATTAGCTGTAACACATAAAGAAATTATACGGTAAAGACCTAAAGGTGCGGCTCGGAACAAGGAAAATGGGTGAGGCGCAATGCTGGTGCAGGGTTGACACCCCTCCCCGTTTCCAATATTTGTTGCTGTTTAAAAATTTATGATAAGGAAAAAGTTTAAAAAGAACCAAGAACAATATATATAAAATATATATATAAAATAAAGAACACTANTATAAAATAAATGTTAAATCAAAGAACAATATATATAAAATAAATGTTAAATCAAAGAACAATATATATAAAATAAATGTTAAATCAAAGAACAATATATATAAAATAAATGTTAAATCAAAGAACGTTAAATTAAAATTACTTCGATAAAAAATATGCCAAAAAAGTGATTAGGAGAGCCTGAGAGGTGACAAAGAAGAAACTTATTTAATTGTGAAATTTATTTCTACATCTGATAAAATGAAGAAAAAAAACTTCCTGATAAAAAGGGGAAAATGGAAAAGGTATTTTTTTTCTTACCCCACTTCTAGTCTTGAGAAATGTGTCTCCTCTCTTCCCCCTCCTCTTCCTCCTCCTCCTCCTTCTTGCCATCCTTCTCTCTCCCACCGAGCCTGTCGTCCTCCTTGGTCCACCGGTCCTCTACCCACTGTACTCACTTCAATTCGTCCTTCACATCCTCCCACAGCTACATGGTTTGACCAGGAGTTTGCTCCACTGAAAAAAAACGTTCGACATTAATTTTTTTTTAATCATACTGCCTGAATGCCTAATTCTTTGCCAAAGTAAATCGCTGTTTAGACCCAATTCTAAAAATACTTTTTAGTTTTTTGGAAAGCCTGGGACAAAAAAGAAGCAGATAACTAGAATCTAGAAATTAATACATTTCTAAAACTATAGAACCTACAAATTAATACATTTTAAAAAATGTAGCACTTGTCACATATCTGGAAAGAGGAAAATATCCAGACTTAGAAGCATTTAAAGGGGGGCCGGGGGAGAAGCATATTAAAGGAGGGTCGGGGGAGAAGCATATTAAAGGAGGGCCGGGGAGAAGCCAAAGATAATATATATATAGATATGCAGGCAGGTATAAATTTTGAGGTCTTGAGAAAAGGTGCAAACAGCACCATCTCTGTCGTACGCATGGCATTTTATCCTCTGGATTGTTGCTAATTTATCACTTTGTTTATGCGTGATAACACTAAATGCGTACTATAGTATCAACAATGTATACTGCATATTGTACTTAATGAAACAAATTAATCAATGCAAATAAAACTGAGGTAGGAATTTGACTAGACAAAGTTTAAATGTGCAAGTTGTACTGAATGGCATACGTAAATTAACGCAATTTAAATAAAAANTTTGCTACAGGCAAAAGCAGTCATTCAGGCAGTGTGCCTGAGGACTCAGGCAGTTAGTATTAAAGCCCGGTTTTAGGCCTAAAGGGAGGGCTTTGGGTATGTAGGAAAAGTCAGAAAATTTCAACAGCCTCAGACCAATACTTTTTTAGTTATGTAAAAAAAACTACAGGGGGGGGTCAAATTGACCCCCCCCCCAGCGGGAATAGGGTTAAATCTAAGAATTTATAAATTGGTATTTGAGTTATTATGTACTGAGTTCGTAATGATTTATTTAAGAATTCAGGAAATAGTAATCTGGCTGAATGATTTACTATTTTATAGTACAACAACATAGAAATAGGGCTGGGCATGTTCCAACTTTTTCAAGCCGTTTCGTTTACGGTTAGTTTCAACCGTTTTTAGAATAAAATCTCAGGTAGCTGTTAGTTTTTGAGGGTAAGAACAAACATCGTTTCGTTAACTGTATTTTCCATTATTTTTCTTAAATTAACAATCTAAATTTTATTAACGGCGTTAACGGAAACTTTTCAACTATTATTAAAGAAATAACAGTTATTGAATTTTTTTTTTCTACAAGTTTAGCGAAATTTTAAGCAGAAAAAAAACGAAATTCAACGTTTTAAAGAAAATACATTTCATTTCAGTTTTCAACGTTAATTTTTTAAAAAAACGGATAATCTGTTTCGTTAATGATTTAAAAATTAACGGTTTTTGCTGTTCGTTAGAGGATTCTTCTTTTATATTCGAAAACCTCTGTTTCCTTAACGCTACTTTGCCCAGCCCTACATTTAGCTCATAGCAGAAAAGATAATTACTAGGTCATATGCTTTGTTCTTTATTTTCTTCGGATCAAAGAATTATAATGTAAAGATAGTTATTTCGGAGGTGTACGCATTTTTAGTACCGCAGTGTACTGTCTCTGGGCGGTAAAGTAAACACAAGACGGATGTCACCAAGGGTGTAATGCAAGGAAAAATAATTGCGGTTGTGTATACTCTGCGTACACATTGAAACCCTCTTTGGGCGGAATTTGTAAACAAGAATAGATGCATCAGTGTTCGTTTAGTATCCGAGGAGGCTAAAAGCTTTAAATTTTGATAATTTTGATAAATCACATAATAGTTTAAGAGACAGTACACTGCAGTACAAAAGTACTTCTGAAAAAACGTTCCTTGCATTACATCCTTGGATGTCACAGCCTGACATGGGATCCATCTTTCACATAAAATTCACTCCACATACATTCAGCTCATTTCAGAGACAGTAGACTTATTATAGTCACTCTACATACATTCAGTTCATGTCAGAGACAAGTATAGACTTATTATAGTCACTCCACATACATTGAGCTCATATCAGAGACAGTAGACTTATTACAGTCACTCTTCATACATTCAGCTCATGTCAGAGACAAGTAGACTTATTATATTCACTCTACATACATTCAGCTCATATCAGAGACAGTAGACTTATTATAGTCACTCCACATACATTCAGCTCATATCAGAGACAAGTAGAGACTTATTATAGTCACTCCACATACATTCAGCTCATATCAGAGACAAGTAGAGACTTATTACAGTCACTCTACATACATTCAGCTCTGTCAAGTAGAGACTTATTATAGTCACTCCACATACATTCAGCTCATATCAGAGACAAGTAGAGACTTATTACAGTCACTCTACATACATTCAGCTCTGTCAAAGACAGGTAGAGACTTATTTTAGTCATTCCCCATACATTTAGCTCATATCAGAGACATGAGGAAACTTATTATATTCACTCCCCATACATTCAGCTCATAACAGAGACATGAGGAAACTTATTATATTCACTCCCCATACATTCAGCTCATATAAGAGACAAGTAGAGACTTATTACAGTCACTCTACATACATTCAGCTCATATCAGAGACAAGTAGAGACTTATTATATTCACTCCCCATACATTCAGCTCATAACAGAGACATGAGGAAACTTATTATATTCACTCCCCATACATTCAGCTCATATCAGAGACAAGTGGAGACTTATTACAGTCATTCTACATACATTCAGCTCATGTCAGAGACAAACAGAGACAGAGTATGGTCAGCACATAACAGAAACAAGTAGAGACATATTATATTCACTCCACATACATTCAGCTCATATCAGAGACAAGTAGAGACTTATTACAGTCACTCTACATACATTCAGCTCATATCAGAAACAAGTAGAGACTTATTATATTCACTCCCCATACATTCAGCTCATAACAGAGACATGAGGAAACTTATTATATTCACTCCCCATACATTCAGCTCATATCAGAGACAAGTAACTTATTATATTCACTCCCCATACATTCAGCTCATATCAGAGACAAGTGGAGACTTATTACAGTCATTCTACATACGTTCAGCTCATGCCAGAGACAAACAGAGACAGAGTATGGTCAGCACATAACAGAAACAAGTAGAGACATATTATATTCACTCCACATACATCCAGCTCATGTCATAGACAAGTAGAGACTTATTACAGTCATTCCACATACATTCAGGTCATATCAGAGACAAACAGAGACTGAGTATGGTCAGCACAGAACAGAAACAAGTAGAGACATATTATATTCACTCCACATACTCATGTCAGAGACAAGTAGAGACCTATTACAGTCGCTCCCCATAAAGTCTGCTAATATCAGAGACAAGAGGAGACTTATTATATTCACTCTACATACATTCAGCTCATATCAGAGACAAGTAGAGACTTATTATACTTCTCTGAGAACTTTTTAAAGGTTTCTTTAAATACTTTGCAAAATGTTGACACTGATAAAAAATATGAACCTGAAAAACAAAAACTTTAATGGTTTAAAAACTGATCAAACAGGATACTTTCAACGCAACCAAAATAATAGAATTTACAGTAAGACCAATACAATCTGGAATAAGAAGCAATCTTCTGTGTATTTTATGCTTTTATGCATAATAAGTTGCTTGAATCCAACTTATTAAGAGGTATGTGCCTGATTAAACTATAGTGTTTATACGCAAATGGGACTACTTGAACTAATAGCTTGAATCAAACTGTCGTCTTCCTATTCCACTGCTTCTGGGTCTCACTGTAGAAAAGGGGATACAAGTTTTGACAATGTACTTTCCAGACAAGTTTTGTCATATGTCACCAAATATATTCTTTGTTTTATTAATGTTGTGTCAGGATTAATATATTAACTGACTAATGTATATATAATATAGATATTATTAATATCTTTTCCAGTCCAAGAATTAGGAGTAAAAAGGGTATCAGGATCAGGATCAAGAACAGATATGGGTCTGAATTAGATTCAGGATTAGGATCAGGATCAGGATCAGGATCAGATTTAGGATTAGGATCAATATCAGGATCAGGATTAGGATTAGGATTATGATCAGGATCAGGATCAGGATCAGTATTAAGATCAGGATTAATATGATGATCTTAATTAGGATCAGGATCAGGATCAGGATCAGGATCAGGGAGTATCAGGATCAGGATCAGGATCAGGATCAGGATCAGGATCAGGATCAGGATCAGGATCAGGATCAGGATCAGAATCAGGATCAGGAT